GCGAGGCACCTCCCCTGGTAGGCTCACTTACCAGCTGTGTCAGGAAGTTGTCTTCCACACACTCCAGGAACCTCCTAGACTGTTTCCCCCCTGCCGTGTTGTACTTCCAGCAGACATCCAGAAAGCTGCAGTCCCCCACGAGAACAAGGGCTAGCAATACATACATAGCAAGGACAGACTTGGTAAGGATGGATTATGCAAGGGTAAATCACAAAGAAATGGAAGACATGCATAAGCTCTGCCAGTTCACGAACCAGACTGCTTCGGTAAGCTTTCCTGCATATTGTTAACACAATAACATAATTGTTTTTTTGTTGTTATACTTCTTTTTAATTGGTTGAAGACAGGATCCTCCACATGAAATGTAGGTATGAGCGAAAGGGGTATTTATTTCCTTGCCACATTAGGAAGCTTTAAAACACAAAATACCCCCACAGTCCTGACTCTGGAAGCATATATGCACATCATCACTGCTACAAGAAGTACTTTTTAATGTAAAAAGCAAGAGTGTCAATAAGCATTTGAAAGTGACTGGAGGTGTACCTTGGAGCTCAGAGAACAATTTATGCTTTCAGAGGCTACAGTCCAAGCCTTCCTGACCGTTCCAAAATGCTGCAGAAACTATTTATGAAGCTACGGTGAAAAGCTCTACAAAACCGGCTCAAAAGGAAAGCTTTGAGTCAGCTTTTGCATGTGAGATAGTGACATCCAGTGGCGACTTTGGTTAACTGTAACCATCTCTTCCCCTGATGCACAGAAAAACACCAATACTTGTATTTTGTTGTAACACATTAAAATATTTAAAACGTATTTAGAAATATTAAAAACATTTAAATAAACAAATATGCACAATATGTGAGTTTCCTAAACAGAGAAACATACTTTGATAATGATAAAAATGGTGTGTTCATCTACAGTGAAAAATTAAATTTTGCTTCTAATTTTTAATCAAGCTTACAATAAAAGTAAGCAAAAATGTTTAGCTGTATTTAAAGAAATAGAACATTCCCTACATTACAGCTGTATTCTTTTCTATCTTGTTCACACAAAGAATCACTACTCCTTTTCCTGACATTCCCAGTTCCTATAAAAAGCAGAGTTCAAGATTTGAGCTTATGATTCTCAAAATCCACAAAGCAATTCTCCATTCTCTTCCTCCATTTAGGATTCACAGCCACAGCAGATCACCATCTAACATAGCTTTTCTAGAGTAGTTCCCTTCTTTTAAGACCCAGCTGATGAAAATAAGTAAGACTGTCCTTCAAAGTTCTTTATTTAGAATACACACAAGGATGCAGACCTCAATTTACTGTCCTTCCGTGCCTTTGGGAGATAGGTGTTTTTAATGGGAGATGGGGATATTCAAAACACATATTTACTAAGCTAGCAAATACTCCTGAGGAACAGACATTCAAATTCCCTTATTGGATCTGTTCCATTTTGTCTAGAATAATGATTCACTGCACCAAAAAGAGGTGAAAATACACTCCAAAGCTAAGGATGTGGCATTTTAGTGGATGTGGAAAAAGAATTCTAGGTTCTCATTCTTGGAAACTCATCTCATCTCATCTCAGTTACTAGTTTTCCATAGGGAACAAGGCCAACTTCAAACTCCAGAAGTTTGCCAACTAAATTCTGCTAATCTATCTTTTCACAGATTTATATGCAACAGAACTACTTTCTACTCTGGTGAAGTTGCCAGGTTAATATTACTTTCTCCCTTTTAATGTTTTTCCTCACTGGCTGACACCATGTGCTATTCTGGAAAGACATATTAAGGAAGGCTGAAGATTTGAGACACTGCCTTCGAGATACACAGAACCAGTTAACAGATCACCTCTGTCTCGTCTTACTCTCCAAAGGATCCAGCTGAGCAGCTACCAGCTTTTCTGTATGCATGTTCCAAACTGAAATGAACAGGCTCTTTCGCAAGCAACCTGAATTCAGATCCCCCAATTAAAAGCAAAGGTATTGCACCAGCCTTAAACATTTGGTTCTCATTCACTTATACATACAAAATTCTAAATAGGCAAAACAGTCTCTAAATTCATGATGTAATTATTTTGATTTGTCAGCAAGTAGGCCCTTACATTATGTTACTGCACTATCACTTCATAAATCCAGTCACATAATGAAGAAAAGCCACACTTTACTTAATTCTGAGGGTTTCTCTTATGGTTAAAGACCCCCTCTTTTTTTTTTTTTTTAAACTTAGCTCTTAAATTTAGTGTTTCTTAGGCAGGGTTAGCTAGAGGGCAACTCAGATAAAAGTTTAAGTCTTTCTGAAATGTAGAAAATGGGAATATTTTTCTGACAAACATATATACGGAAACCACATTTTTGTGTTTGTGAAAATTTATCTTCCATAAGTGTTACATTTACTTATTATAGTTTCAGTAGTCAGAGAAGGCTTAAAAACACCAAACTTACAATTTTAAAGTGTACATTCTGACATGTTCATCCTTCAAAAAATAGATAGAATTTTGGAATTTGGAGCTGTTTATACGTTCACTCAGCAATATTTTTAGAAGACAAAAAACCCCCCATCACGTTGATACTTTCTAAACCAAGTATTATCCGCCTACTAGCTATTGCATTATGTCAGTGGTATCAGAAATGAACAGATAATATACAGCCCAAATGGATTTTTACTTGCCAATTAAAAATAAAGTGCCTGCCACTCACACTCTAGGGTTCTTCGCTCTTCAACTTTGTTAAAGGGCTGTAATGTCCTGGGATCTTATATTAAAGGGCAAAATTACTCTGGTAATGCAACACAAAATGAAATACTGCCTGAAAGATCAACTACACTGAGCGGAAGAGGAAAGAGAATTTAAGCAAGCAGAAGTTTATTTTATTTCACTTGGGATTCCCAAAGGTAGAGAGAATGTCTCTAATAAATCTTGTGCCAAGCAAGGCTAACACAAAATTGGGCAATACAGAAAAAGTAATTTCTGTTATCTTGTCTATGTTATGCTAGAAAGGACAGTTCTAATTGCTGTATCTCACCAGTTCCACATACTTACAGAAGAGAAAATTTTCATTTTTTTCCAACCTCACACACAAGAAAGGAGACAAAATACTCAACTATTTGGGGAAAGTTTGCCTTTGATGTACTACATAAGGCACATCGTTTTCCATTGCAAGAGACTTGCTGCTTAGCTGCTCTGAACCACCTCATTTACTGTGAATCAAATTCATACATGTTGTGAAGCCAAAGGCTATTGGTAACAGGTGGTATCTCAGTACGATGAGGTACGACAGCTTTAAGTGTGTGATACTAAAACAATTGTGCATTGATATTGTTGCAGAACAGTTCACAAGAGGAAAGGCAGGAGCACAACATTTGTGTGGTCATGCTTAAGGCCATGTATGAAAGATTGCATACCTTTCCCCAGCTGAACTTTTCTAAACCAGCCTGGGAGGATTACATCTATATAAAATCAAACAGGCCTGTTCCTTGGTCCTGAAGACAGGTGCCCCAGCCTATCTTGCAGCTATTTGGATAGATTCTATTCACTTGTTCAGAACAGGGACTGTTCCCAAAAGGCACATGCTATCTACCAGACCACAAGAGATGCTTTCATGGAGAAGTGACAGTTGACGCTACCCAACATTGCATCAAGAGTCACAGCAGAATGGACAATAATATAGCAAGCCTGCATCTATCTAGTTTGCTAATATAAAGTAGCCTAGCTGTCTGTAATTCTTGATAGAGAAATGAGTGAGGAAAGCCATGCTAATTAATTCATGGGAAAGGTAAAGAAATGGATCCCAGACTAACACTGCACTGCCTTTCCACAATGCTGTGAAGCCCTCCAGAAACAGTTTCACTCTTATCCCTAAGACACTCACAAACTGCGTGTGTATATTCATCTGCTTGTCTCCCTCAGGTCCATATTTCCACTGTTGTGAAGACTATTCACGTATTTAAAATTACTTTCACAAATACATGCAAGCTTAAAAACATACTAGTGTTCTGTGTTTTTGTACCCAGCTGTTCTTCACATTAGTCAAAGTTCAATTTTGTAGATCATCTTTCCTACGTCTTAAATGACATCTATTTTAGACAGAAGCTTAGGTCTCCACACAAAGGTTTAATTGCTTCCAGATACAACTTTTACTAAATATGTACGGACAGTATTCCATTGTGTTCATTTCCCCCCATAAATTTCCTTAATTCAATAAAAACAGGTTACTCCAAGCAAAACTGAAGTCTTCTTCATGTTTACCAGAGTCATTTTTTCATTTTCAGTTATTTATTAAAAAAAGTAAAGCATTAAAAAAAAAGTAATCTAAAAAAAATAGAAACAAAATTGCATAGAACGTCCTGAAGTTTCTTCCCTTCCTTTCACTTCTACAAATAAGCAAAAAATACTATCAAAATTACATCCAGTTTCAAGAAAAGATATTTATCCAGCAGCATTAAAATAATGAAATGTAAATTGAAAACAATGCACAGATCATTTTGAATTACACAAATGAAATACAAGATTTTACCAAACTGGTAATTTTTATGAAAAAAAAGACAGAAAAAAATCTTATTAAAAATTAATTCAAATTACCTCCATTTAAGATACAGCAGATAATTTTATTTATAAAATGCTACTGGCACACAATACACATAGGAAGTATGAAACTTGATTTATAAAGAAGTTTAACGCTTCATAGAAGCATGGATTCCTGAGGTATTCTGAATACAATCCCTCATTTACTGGAATTCACAACACAGCTCCAGTTGGCTTAAGCAGCAGAAGACTGCATACTTAATAAACACACAGTTAAGACATAGTTAAAAAATATATAGGCAAATGGAAACCAACTGGAAGACTGTGTCTCACCAATACTAATAGCCTTGGTCATGGTGAAAACTACCTAACATTGAAGGGCAGAAAGACCTGTTAAGACTGGGTTTCTCAACTTCACAGCCAATTCAAATATATTGTTGGATACCGGCTTTTACCTAATTGTCCATGGCCACATGTTGCGAAGTCCTCTTGACACCAGACACAAAAACATTGCCATTTCTGGATAAACATACAGAAGGACTGATTACCTGGACAAGTATTATTACAATAAAAAAAAAAAATCAGAGTTAGGTGCTTTCACTTCTTTTTCTCTTTTCCTGCTTTCATCCTCTGCTGTAGTGTCTTCAGTTCAGTCATTACATTCAAAGTTCTGTAAACCCAGGTGACCTGAAAAGTTAAGTAAATTATTAAATTTAACTAATCCACATACGTTTACTTATCAATTTAATGAAAACAACCATATAAATGAACACATACATACCACAATTACAATAGTATTCACCAGCAGTGGTGCTGAAAATACTAGTGAAATAAACATTCCTCTTGAATCAAAGTATTGGTATTTAGAAAACAGCCTGAAAGAAATAAAATTAAAATAAAAGAAGCTTTATTCAGTGTAGTTCACATAACATACTTTCACAGTAACTAGTCAACATGGACATTGTACAGATTATCCTACTTCTTGGGATCCCCAAGCATAGGCCAGCATTCTACTGTATTAAGTCAGAACAAAGAGACAGTCAATATCTCATCAGTTATGAATATTTATTACAAAATCCAGTCTTTCTTTTCTTTAAGGTTTTACTGTGCAAAACCTAAATAAAACAACCACAGATTAAGTAACTTACTGATGTGACTACATTTGTACGTATATTTGTGCATCAGAAATCATGCTTATCCTTAAGTGTCTGGAATGACTTTCTTAGGTATTTTGGTTACTCATATTAGAAAAGATAACAGAAATAATAAATGTAGCAAAGCTGTAATTTAGGTTGTGTATGCCTGAAGTGGAACATAAAGACTTACCATTAGATGCCTGCATAAAGTGGTGTTAAACACATAATTTCCAGTTACATCAGGGAAAGGTTAGTTTGGTGCTTATAAAAATAAGCCATCAGTTTAATTCTGGTACACAGGCTTAGTAAAACAGGCAAATTTTAATGTTTTTATGCATATAAATAAGTATATAAAATAGTAGTGATATTTTTGAGAAGTGGTGCTTAACTTCAGCTTATTAAACATGAATAGCTACCAAAGAACCACCCCCCAAAAAAACCCCAAAACCAAAGCTCACATCCTCTTCCCCTTAACCATCCCACTCTGCTTTTCTTTTAGCTCTCAGACTAGTTAGTTTACAACCATCCATATAAACATAGATTTTAAGCAGTACAATAAATACATGCTAGCTATTAAAAGTTACCTTTTCTTATAAGCTAAGTGATAACTATGTTGTACTGTATGGTTTTGTTCAAAAGTTTTATATCAATCTATGCAAAAGACCCTCTGCCATCACATTCTACTGATGAGGCATGAGCGACTCTCTTTAATGCTTTCTGGGAATGGTATGAAAAAAGGAACATTTTTAGAAGAACATTCATTTAAATGCAAAAATGAAAGTGAAGACATTTACCTCCAATTCATGGCTGCTAATTCATTTATATATTCAGCACAGTACACTAAGCCCACTGTACAACAAAAGAAAAATATTAGATTCAGTATTTCCTTAAAAATAAACTGCCATCAGTTCTGCCATGTATACTAACGACATATACTTACCAGACATTAGAATTCCTTGATCCTCAGAAGATGAAACTACACATTTAACTGTTAATTGCACAGAACCAATTCTGATTTAAATGTCCCATATAGCTACTAAGAAGTATAAATTGATCACAAAACATACCTACTATATTACAAACAAACAAACATAAAATCCTACTCATCTGAGCTTACAGAAAGAGCTCTGCATACAAATGAATTAAAAAAAAAATATTAATCAGGATTTTTTCCAACAATCTTCTTGGTGACTGCTTCTAAGTTATGTCTGTAAAAAGAAATGCCAGCACTCCCCAGAATTGCTATGGAATTAAGTTATCATTTTAGATGTTATGGTGTCACACTGCTATAGCTAACATTACTATCTGAAGTTAGGGTACTAATTATATATAAGCATTTTGGTAAAATACAAACTTTGTTTGAATAGGTGTATAGCAGAGTAGTCTGCTGCAGTCAGTTGGAAACTAGCATATTCTTACTCAACAATTACATGCAATATGAAGCCATCAAGACAGTAAGAAAATTCAGTGCAATCACATGTTTACCAGAAAAGCAATACAACTACAAAATTTTAAATTTGTCCTTGTAACATTTTCCATGAGAAACAAAGTAAAAAAAACAGTCAGTGGCTAAAGATGACCTGTACAAGGCAATTAAATAACTAGTTTGGTGATATGAAGGAGTGCTATCTTGCTTTGCCATCTGGATTATCTCTGCTTGGTACTGCACAGTATAAACATAACTATAGCTGCCCAACTGCCAAGATAAACCACTGTGATAATTGCCTCATTTCCTCAGTTATTTCTGACTATCTACAATACAAAATTATTTATATTGCAGACATATCAAAAGTGGTTCAGTTTTTCAGGTACAAACAAGGCTTGGATTCAATATGGATATTTTTATGCACCCTTCTTGTTTAACAGCAAATTTACATCATATCTGGGTTAAAAAGCCAGCAATGACCAGTTCCACTGCATTTTCCAATGCATTTAGACCTTGGGCATTCAAACTAGTGTTAGTAACACCGGGAATACTTTAGATAAAGAGTCTAAAGTAACCAGCATGTCATTGGAAATTCTGAATGTCTACTACTAAATTTAAGAAAGAAAAGCCTGTATTCTTATAGGGAACTTTCAGGCCTAATGTGTCATAAACAGGGCATTGTTATTTTGCCCTCTGTAGATCATTTTAAACTCTGCAGTTACAAGTGGATGTATAGACATTACTAAGGTTTCTAGATTCCTTTCTGGGGGTACTTAATGTTATCGAAACCTTAGCTTTAGCTGAGTTATTTGCAGTTTTGAGGAGGCTATGCTTCCTCTCCCAACTTGACTAGTTCACTAAATGGTATTTTAAAAAGTCAACATAGTCTTCAAGTAGCTTTTTGCCTGCAAATCTCTTTCAATCGCTCATTCTTCCTGCAGTCATGACAGAACTGAGATGCTGTGTAAAAAACCCCAACCCACCAGAAAATCCAACCCATGGCTAGAACCAAGGTACTGCTCATAATACACGGATCTAACCCAAATCCGTACCATCTTAATTAAACCAAATACCCTCTGCAAAGCTACTAGATCTTCATCCCGTCAGCTATAAAGACACAGCTTTGGCTGTGCAAGGCCACTGTGGATTCTAAAGCTGTGCAAGGCCACTGTGGATTCTCAGGCTGAAGTGTGATAAAACCTGAGATAACACAAGCTGGTACCGCTGTGTACCGAACCAGTCTTGCTCTTCCTCATGCCATTATCACAGCTGTCAGCAGGGCATATGGTGAACCTGCTCCAGAAATGAATCCAGCTGAAAGCTGACCATATTCACTTAACTGCGGCATTAGAATAAGGCAGAGCAGAAAGCAACTGCTGGCTCTCAGCCAATTACTTTTCTGCTTCTCCAGCACAGCAACAATTTCTCGGGAAGCTGTGATACACACAGCATTTACCATGCAGAAACCTTACTTATCCCAGATCCTCACTAAGGCCAGGGTTTTAAGTCACTACTTCATACGGTCTTGGAAACTAAATAAATACATATTTACAGGTCATAGCAGCTTCTATAACAGTTTATCACGTATAGACACATGCATTACTATAAGAGAAATACTAATTTGCACGCACTTTATCTGCTGCAAAGTATAAAACCGCGTGCTGTGCAAGTACATGAAGAAAACGGTTATCATTAAGAGACCAAAAGAAGCTCTTTAACAGTATTAGCAGCTTAAACAGCGCACATGCTCTTTATCACCCTAATGCCGGTTCACGGAAGCATGAATACACGACTCACCCATGCAGAGGAAGTGCCCTATTTGCACCCGGTAGTGCTGGAAAGAGATGCACGTTAGGAAGAAACAGAAGATGTGGAAAAACGCCAGCCCCACCAGCCAGGGCTCGGACCAGTCCGTCTTCTACAGACAAAATGAAAGGAGATTAGGCTATGGGAGGAGAAGGAGTGTCACCAGGCAGCTAAAGCGAGCGGCTTTCCTTCTCCCGCACTGAAACAACCGTTTTCAGTCACGGACCGCGCTCACCAGCCCGCCCCGTGCCAAGCTGGGGAAGGTGCGAGCACCCCTGCGCGGACTTCCCCCCCACGCCCCCGGCGGCCGGTGCCTCCTCCCCTCTCCCCGGGCATGCGGCCAGCCCCGCTCCCGCCC